CTGCGTGAGGGGCTCGGGCCGGGCTCCCCTGCGGCCGTGCCGGGTCTGACCGCCCGGTCCTGGCGGTGCGCTCAGATCGCCCAGCGCGGGCTGGGGGGCGGGAGTTAAGCCGTAGTGCGAGCTTCAAAACAACTGCTAAGTCATGCAGGCCGGCCGGGCTGCCGGCACTAACCGCCTCGACCCGCGAGGCCGGTGACGGCTTTCCTCGGGAGGCGCGGAGCCCGGGGGGAGCCCGGGGGCGCTGGGCTGTCTGTGGGGCGCTCACCCGCGCCGGGTTGCTCTGGCACAGGGCAGCCCGCGGTTCTCTGCGGGGACACTGAAGCAGGAGCCCCAGGGCGAGCGGTGCGGCAGGGCGGTTTGCTGTTAAAATGTCCCGGATCCTGTGAACCGCGATATGAAGCAGAAAAAGGAAGCGTTGGGGCCAGGTGGTTTCATTTTCGAGTACCTTAGCAGGTAGGCTCCTGGTTAGTAGCGGAGCATCCTGCCTTCACCCTGGGTTCTGCTTTAGCTCTGGATCGCCCTGATATTCTGTAGGCAGTGAGACAATTCCCTTTTGTGGAGCTCACTTGATAAAGATTGAAGTTTGCTATTGAGAGACTGCGGGAAGGTTTCTCATCACATTTGCTGCTCTCTCTCTCTTTCCAGGATGTCTTCAGGTGCGTTATTTCCAAGCCTGGTGCCAGGCTCCCGTGGCTCTTCGAGCAAATACCTGGTGGAATTTCGGGCAGGGAAGATGTCCCTGAAAGGCAGCACTGTAACCCCAGACAAGAGAAAAGGCCTTGTTTACATCCAGCAAACTGATGATTCCCTCATTCACTTCTGCTGGAAGGACAGGACTTCGGGCAATGTCGAGGATGTGAGTATGGCTTTGTGTTTCAGTGATGAGGTGTTAAGTCGCGGTTTGTCTCCTTCTTGTTCTACTTCTGCTGGTGCTGCTGAAAGAGCTGCTCTGAGACAAACAAGGATGAGAATGCCACTGTGGCCTGACAGACTCGCCTGTCCTAATCCTTTCAGAACAGATGGAAGAAGGTTTGGGGAGGAGGGCAGATGTCTTTGGGAGGCTAAAACGAATATTCATGTATTTCCTCAAACATATCTTTTTACTGCCACGTTTTCCAGGATTTGATTATTTTTCCTGATGACTGTGAATTCAAGAGGGTACCTCAGTGCACTACTGGCCGTGTGTATGTATTGAAGTTCAAGGCAGGATCAAAACGACTCTTCTTCTGGATGCAGGTTTGTGGGAAGTCAATAATAAAAGTCTTGGAACAAATTACTTCCAGTTTGACTTGTACCAAGAGCAACTTTCTTGCAGGAGCCAAAGACGGACAAGGATGAAGAACACTGCCGTAAGGTGAACGAGTATCTCAACAATCCACCAATGCCTGGTGCTTTGGGTGGAAATGCAAGTGGAGGCCACGAGCTCTCGGCATTAGGAGGTACAGTCCATTCTCTGCTCCTTCATGTGAGAGGCTTTTTTTTTTTTAAAAAAAATTTACTTTTAAAATGAGCATTTATAGTTCCCTAGGAAGAAATTCCTGATGGCTATGGAGGGTGAGTTGGGGACAGTGTTAATACCAGAAGTCTAAACATGCCTTTAGCAAAATTAACTGTGCTGTTGTAATAGGTGCAGGCTGAAAGTTAAGACTGCCAGAAGAGATCTCTCTCTGTTTCCAGTAGATTCTCTGGGGTCTTATCTCTTTATGAAGTTGCATTTATCTTTTATGAGCATCATGAATCAGTAAACACTTGAAACTGTTTTTTCCATACAGAATGTGATGCCAATTAATCTCCTGCTGTTTGAGCCGGAGTGCTGTGAAAAAAAACCTATGTGAATATGTTGTGTTTCAGAATGTTTTTGTTTTTAGGTGAGGGTGGCTTGCAAAGCCTTCTTGGAAACATGAGCCATAACCAGCTCATGCAGCTGATCGGACCAACGGGCTTAGGAGGACTTGGTAAAATGCTTTAATATCTTTATGCCAAAATGGTATTTTCTCCTGCCAGGTTAAATCTTACCTGACAATATTTTCAAGTAGTGCTATTGATTTGAATAGCGCTGCTTTCACATGAGAAAGCAAGGCCCTGCCTGAAAGATGAGCTAAGGAGCAAAAAAAAAAGGATGCAGAAAACAGAGGGTAGCAGACTACACAGCACTCATCTTAGGGCTTGATCTGCAAGGAACGTTGGTTCTGCTCCTTGGTCTGCTGAATCTTCTGCTTTTTTTTTTTCTCCTCTTTTTCTCCATCCCTCCTCTTCCTCCTAAATATTCATTGGAGCAGGGAGTGAAAACCAGGGACTCATCCCCAGTGAATGTCCCAGTTGCCAAGCTGTGCAGTTGCTGGTGTTGTCTCTGATCCAGTGAATATTTCTGTGCAAAAAGTAGAGTTCTAGAGGAAGGTTGGAGCGTACCCACCCCACAGCACACGCTAGTCAGTAAGGCTCAGGTTAGGGCTTTCTCTCCTGAGGAGAGCTCGAATCATCATGCTGTTTTTCTGGAGGGGATGAGAGGTGTGTTGGAGTCCCTGCTGCGGTGTGTTCGTAACGCTATCGGTGCTGCAAGCCCAAGAGAGCATTTTCTGAGAAGTCAGACCCTCAAGGAGAAGTAGGCCACGAAACGCTTGGCAGGTGGCGGTGACTGAGGTTCTGTGCTTAAGCTCCAAAGTCCATTTTTGTGGATCTAGCTCGTGTCTCTTTAGCTTCAGATGCAAATCTCATGTTGGTGGGATGTTCAGATGCAAATTTGATGTTAGTGTTGGAAGATTCTGGCTTTTTAGGATGTGTTTGGAAAAGATCTCCCTTCTTGAAGCTTCACGTAACTCCTGAGACTGTCTTCCTCTTCTTCTCAACACTTTTTTTCTCAGCAGCTCTTCTTTCTTTGCCTTTACATCTAGCCATAAGACAGCTTGACATGAAGCTCCCTACTGTAACGCAAAGAAAACCATCTGCTTGCCTCTGCAAAGGGTGGTTGTGATGAATCCATGTGGATCTCTTCCCTCGGTAGCATCTTGTTCTTTTGCATCTGGTTTGCATCTCTCTCAGGACTCTGCCTTTACTGCAGAGCTCCTTCAACAAAGGAGCTTTCTTGCTCCTGGGTAAACTTTTCCTAGCAAGGGCAAACCAAGTAGAGTACAGCCTGGTTAGCTTCACCCTGCCATCCCTGCTGCTGTGGAAGCTGTCACTAGTGAACCTCAGTGTTATGGGCATGGTTCTGTGGGAGTGGGTCTGGCACAAAGGAGCTGGTGGCTGGTGACCACGGACCTCCGGTGCTCTGCAGATTCCATTAATCCCGTGTTTGCTCCTGGGGTGCTGCTGTTCTGGCCTCTGCTTTCAGGTGGTTCCCAAATGGTGGGTGATGAATGTAGGGACGTGTATTTAATTGGATGTGGGACAAGAAACCACTGGGTGAGAAGCATGTGGTATATGCAACGTTTGGCTGATGTGGCTCAAAGGAATTGCAGGAGGACAATTGGCCACTGATGGCTCCAGTGGACCTAGACCAGGCCTTTCCCCAGCTCCTTTCAGTGGATGTTCTTGATGCCATAAGTCCTTGGTAGTTGGGATGTGTGGATGAAGGATTTTTTTTTTGCAATGGCAAAGGCTTAAAGACTTGAGTGTTGGTGTCCTGTTGTTTCACTTTGCTCCCGGATGGGGTTGTCCTCAATTTGCCTATGAAGTGTTTAAGAACTCGGCTGATCCTGCTGCCACATCTCTGTGTTAGGTCTGAAGCTGCAAAACCCAGGTGTGTGGAGAGACAGCAGTGGTGGTGACAAAAAGGCTGCCTCTGTGACTTTCTGCTGAGGGCCTTGGCTTTCAAGTTTAGAGAAAAGTTGGATTTTTTGGAAACCAGGAGATAAGAGAGGGCTGTGTTCAGTGGTCATGTATGTACAGCACAAACCAAAGTCCTTTTATCTTGTGTACCTCTAGAAATTGAGTCAATTCTAAAACGTGCAACTCTCTCTAAGGCAGTTTTCTAATAGAGATGCAAGACCAGAAAACAGCTGTTAATGTACAGAAGGGGGTGGGGGGGTTGGTCTGGGCTCTTTCACCCCCTCCTCCTTTATTTTAGCAAATAAAACCTTTCAGGTACAAGAGTGACCTCTCTAGAGCAGAGAGGTGCAAAAAACCTGAAGAAATAAATTTCTAAACCTGTTCTTCTTTTATGTTTACGGAAGGTGGGCTGGGTGCTCTGACGGGGCCTGGGCTGGCCAGTCTGCTTGGAAGTGGGGGACCCCCGACCAGCAGTTCCTCGTCAAGGTAGGATGTCTGTCGGGGCTGAGTTTGTGGTTGTTTTTGTACCATAAAGTTGACACTTCTGTAGGGGGAACCGTGGCCTACTGAACAGGAGATGTGGGAATTGAGGCTGCTTATGACCTCTCTAAAGTGAGATAGGAGCTCTACATACTGTAAGGGCTTGAAAAGCAGCTTTTCAAAATACGAGAAACAAAGCTGGGTTTTTTTTTCAGGGAATTATTGTAATAATTATCTTCTCCAGCTCTCGCAGCCAATCAGCTGCTGTGACACCATCTTCCACTTCTTCGACGCGCGTAACGCCCGCCCCGTCGGTGCCTGCGGCTGCCTCGGTGACCAGCCCGAGCCCTGTGCCGAGCTCGGGTAATGGAACCAGCTCAGCCACGAGCCCAACCCAGCCCATTCAGCTGAGTGACCTTCAGAACATTTTAGCTACTATGAATGTGCCATCTGGAGCAGGAGGACAGCAAGGTACAGTGTTCTGATGAGGCAGCTCTTGGATCCAGGAGTCCTTCGGAGCTCTTTTACTGTCCTGTTGTGTTCCAAATTGGTTTGAAAGGTCTCTTGCAATTTTTTGGTTTATTTTTTTGAGTGCTATACTTGGCTGCTTCAAGAGTCTTGTTCTCACTCCAAAACTGAGAGGGGGATGATGCTAGCAGTGTGCTAACCACGTTTCAGTATCCTCCGACCAGATCATTTGGTTTATGTGACAAAACGCCGTGTTCTGGGCAGAGTCTGACAGCCAACCCTTCATTTTCTTCCTAGTTGACCTGGCAACTGTTCTGACTCCCGAGATAATGGCTCCCATCCTGGCCAACGCTGAAGTTCAAGAGCGGTTGATGCCTTACCTTCCCTCGGGGGAATCTCTGCCACAGACTGCGGAAGAGATTCAGAATACCCTGACGTCTCCCCAGTTTCAGCAGGTAGCTGCCTGGCTCCCCGTCCCTCCTGCCCTGCTTTACCGGGTTCCTGACGCTGCTCCGAGTGGGACATTGCCCAGTAGAAGTGGAAAGGAGGGATGTGGTTTAATGGGGCACTAGTGCTTCCTTCCTGCAGTCACCCATGGGCAGATTAGAATGTTTTCTGCTTTTTTCTTTTGGAATTGGGCTTTACCTTGCTCTTTTATTCTACATGCTCTCTGACAAATGACAGGGGAGTAGCTAATTCATTATTCCCTGAGTGGCTCATCAGCAGCCTCCTTAAAGGTCACTTCAGGTGAGGTGGAAGGGAGGGAGCTCATGTTTTCAGCACTACATCCCTTGTTCCTCTTGAAAGGGTGGTACTTAATTCCAGCACTGTCTGCGTGGTGGTTAAAGCTGGTGTATCGCAGGCCAATTTGAAGTAGTTGCACTGCTTGAAATTTGCCATTTTGCAGAATTTCAGTGGCTGAGAGGACTCTTTTTAGGTTAAACTATGGCACTTCTTTTGTGCAGACGGCTCGGAAACAAGGGCTGTTTTTCACTGGTGCTTTGATAGAGTATCTGCATCTAGAAAAAGCACTAAACCGACTGGGGGTTACCAGTTTGTGCTTACTGGTGTCTGGCTGGTCCCCACTGGGGGAATCACTGAGTCCCACAGGGTTGAGGAGGGACTGTGGCTGCGTTACTGTGCAGTGGCTGCCTGCTGTGACAGAAACAGGAATAAAAACTTTTTTTTTTTTTTTTTAATGCTGCTGACTGATTCACAGGCATTGAGCATGTTCAGTGCTGCCTTGGCTTCAGGACAGCTTGGCCCACTAATGAGTCAGTTCGGCTTACCCGCGGAGGCAGTAGATGCAGCAAATAAAGGAGGTAGGTACTGGTGCTGTCAGGAACGTGACGAAGCGGTTGGTTGGGGTTTGTTTTTTGTACTGCACGCAGCCATCGAATGGGGAGTGTAATGAGGAGCTGCTGAGGAGCTGTCAGAAGCTGCCTCTTGTGCTGTTCTTTGTCACCCCAGCAGAGGTGTGGAGCAGCCTTGGCCTTGTTCCCTGATAAGAGATGCAGGACTGGAGCTGTCATCTTGTTCAGGGTTTTCTTTTTGAAGTTTTTAATGCGTCAGCTGGAGGGAGTGCACAGCTGTGGCCTGTAGCACTAGAGGGAAGGGGGTGTCGGTGTTCCCTGAGGAGCTTTTAGCATCTATTCCATGACTGAAGTAATTCTGGTCTCAGGCTGCCTGTGCACAGGGCTATGGTGCAGGAAACAATGTGTCAGAGCCAATTGTGTGTGAGAGTAAAGGGGAGTCTTAAAATTTTCTTCCCTGCTAATAGATTCTTACTAAAGCAACTGTTTATTTTCCAAGTAATGATGCTTAACCTCATGTGGTCAGTGAATGCCATCCCAGAAAGTGGAAAGTTAAATAACTAATGTGTTTAAATTCTAGATGTAGAAGCGTTTGCCAAAGCAATGCAGAACAGTGTCAAGTCAGACCAAAAGGAAGGAGACTCTAAGGACAAGAAAGATGAAGAGGAAGATATGAGTTTAGATTAAGTTATTTGCTCTTCCTTACAGATATTCCTAGATACTAACTTAAGCAACTGCAGTAGGATTACTAACTTCATATTATGCTTATATAAATCTACAAATAAAGGAATTTTCTTTATCTGCCATACTGTTCTTTCTCAGTCTGTTTCACATGTACTTTAACAGTATTTACTCTTTATTTTCAGTGGGGTTGCTTCCTGTTCAGTTGTGATGCTTCTGACACAGGGCTAGGCTAAGTGTTCTGTTTTCCTTGTGATAAAAGGGTTGAGCGCCCTGTGACTTTACCAGTAAAGTGAAAGAGTAACAAAACTTTATTCCACTCCAAAGTACCAGTGATTTACAAAGACCATCTTTAATACTACAACTTAAAAACAGGTCATAATTACATTTGTTTAAGATAGACATGTTAAAAACCCATTTTACAATATTTACCCCTCATAAAAAACCCCCCACAATATAATGATATAAGTTATAAGTCCATTTCAGAAGCAAGATTTTGTCCCCAAGTGGCTACATAGATATATACACACACAAATATATATATGATGTGTAAGTGCACAAGTGAACTGGGTGTCTTGGGAGAAAAAGGCTTTTTTTCAAGTGAAGACTGCACTACACCAGGCAGGAGTGAGGCTGAGCAGGAGAGGCAGCTGCTAGCGGGGGGTGAGGGCCCCCAGCCAGACTCGGCAGTAACCTGTCTTTTATTTCTTTCCCTTTCAAACAACAGTTTCTTGCTTCATGCAACAGGGCTTCTGTCATTGTATCTATCTACCAGCGCTGGAGGCAACTGCAGAGAGTCAGAGCAGGACTTGTGTCTTTCTGCTTGCCCTCAGCAGTGCTTCCAGCCTGTTTTGTTCCTTTTTTTTTTTTTTTTGATTCTTATAAATGAATCTGATAAGAAGATGCTAATTCTGTGAACAGAATTTTGTCCAAGTGCCCCCTTGCAGAGCTTTTAGCCGTGGCAGGTGAACCGAGACTGCTCCAGGGACGGGGGGGTGGCTTAAACATGTCCTTGCTTATAAAAACACAAAAGTGACGGAATTAATCCAGTTTGTCCTAATTGCATTTATTATAAAACAGACACTGCCTTTAGCAGAAGACAGGCTGTGACAGTTATTAATAGCCTCAAGTGTTCTGTGAAGTAAATCTATGTGCGTTGTGAGTGTGGGGTGACGGGAGCGGGGCCAAGGACACGACACACGGCTCTGCGGAGGATGAGCCCTGGGGCAGGCGCCTGACCAAGGACTCGGACCTGTCTCCACATCCTGCTCCAACCTTTTGGTTGTATTTGTAAAAGATGCCCCTGAAGTGCCCCCTTCTTCCTGCCTGCCCTCCTTCCCCTTGGATTTGTGGCCCCTCTCTGGTTTTGGCCCCAGACTTGTGCCTGCAGTCACTGGAGATCAAGTATGTCCCACCAGGGTTAATGCTATCAAGTAGGTGATGCCTGGGGCCGGGGGAGCAGTGCAGCTTTCTGTCGGTCAGGCTGTACACGGAGGTGCACTTACTTACAGCATGGGGCAGCCCCTAAGGCCAACGGAGCCCCTGACAGTCCCGGCTCGTGGCAGGTCCACATGGCTCCGGTTAATCACCAGGTTCCTTATACAGCCCACGTAATGTGGGAGGGGAGGTAATGGTGACACTGTGCTGTCATTGTCTGTCTCTGCAGAAGGAACAAGTGAAAACAAGCGTTAGTCTGGTGAATAACAGGGCAGGGGCTTGAGTGTCTCTTACTTGCTCCATGAAGAGCATCTCTCTTGGCTTTTGGAGCATGTCTTTCCCAGCTCACCTGGCAGCCCTCCCACGTAGAAGGTCGCCCTTGTGCTGGGTGCAGGAGGCAGGCTGGGTCCCGCTGTGTAGTTGCCTTGTGTGTCCACATCAACCTGGACGATGTTTTTCCATTTGGTAACTTCAAAAGAAAACAACAGTCAGTGCTGTTTCCTTACCCCGAAAGCAATCCACCTCCGTCCCGCAAACCAGACCCGTGCTGGAGCAGAACACAACTACTGGGAGGGTCAGAGGACCTGGCCTGGCTCTTGGGAAATGCCCAGAGTCTGGACAGCCTCCCCCAAATCTGTTCGGGGGTCACCAGCCACCCAGGAAGGACCATGTCTTGCTCTAGTGAGAAGGGCTGCCCTCTCCCAGGTGGGACAGCACACGCCTGGGATCAGCTCAGACCAGCTCTGGCCGCAGGGGGACAGGTCCTGTGGCTGGAAAATGCACCAGGAGCACGCGCTGGCTCTCCCCCAGTGCTGGGTCAAGCATGATGAGGGCTTAAAACAGAGCTGTGGGGGTGTAGCTGTGACCCCCACCCTCAGAAAGGGCTGGATGCAAAAACCTCAGCACTCGCTCAACAGCAGCTATATTTAAGGCTGAGTTTTGCCCGTCTGGGTGTGACTCCTGCAAATCACCGGTCCCAGCTGTGGGCCTGAGCCCTTTGGACACATCCTGGAGGAAGCCGGTGCTGCGGGACAGCCCTGGCCTCGCCGGCGGCTCCGTGCCCGGGGCAAACACCCCGTCCCTCCTGCCCGCCAGACCAGACTGCACTAACAGGATCAGGCAAGGACGCTGACTAATTAAGGAATGACTTAACGGCAGCTCCAACCTCCCAAATTAAGTGCATACAGGTGGGAGCTGGGGTTTAAATACCCGAGGAAGGGCCCTGGCCTCCCCCCAGGAGATGTGGGCTGAGCAGCGCCCCAGAGCCAAGAGCTGGCTGTCACCTCACCTGCAATGGTGTGCCACTGCCCGTCACAGAGAGATGGGCACGTCACCGATGCGGAGAACTCACCAGCCCCAGTGCCGGCTCTCACGGTGACCTGTCACACAATCATCAAGGTCGGAAAAGCCCCTGCAGCTCCTCCAGTCCCACCATGACCCTCCCCCTGACCGTTCCCAACTCCCCCAGATCCCTCAGCGCTGGCTCAGCCCGACTCTTCAACCCCTCCAGGGATCCCGGGGACTCCCCCCTGCCCTGGGCAGCCCATTCCAACGCCCAACAGCCCCTTCTGCACAGAAATCCTTCCTCAGAGCCAGCCTGACCCTGCCCTGGGCAGCCTGAGGCCATTCCCTCGGGGCCTGGCGCTGGGGCCTTGGCTCCAGAGACTCATCCCCCCTCTCTGCCCCCTCCTGGCAGGGAGTTGCCGAGGGCCAGGAGGTCTCCCCTCAGCCTCCTCTTCTCCAGACTGAACCCCCCAGTTCCCCCAGCCGCTCCCCAGCAGACCTGTGCTCCAGACCCTGCCCCAGCTCCGTTGCCCTTCTCTGGCCACGCTCGAGTCATTCAATGGCCTTTTTGGGGTGAGGGGCCCAGAACTGAACCCAGGAATCAAGGGGCGGCCTCCCCAGTGCCCAGCACAAGGATCAGATCCCTCCCCTGTCCCTGCTGGCCACGCTATTGCTGATACAAGCCAGGATGCCATTGGCCTTCTTGGCCACCTGGGACACTGCTGGCTCATGTTCAGTCGTGTGGGACAAACCCATCAGAACCCAGTGAGCTAAGCGGGATGGGCAGGAGATGACCTGTGGAGAAGCCGCCCTCCCTCTACCTTTGACTCCTCCATATACAGCAGGAGATGGCGGCTTCTCCTCGTGCCGATGTGGAAGATGAGTCCAGAAGCACTGCGGGGACGGACCTCCAGTGTCACCTCCAAGTCCTGCTCAGTCACCACTGCATCAGCTGCAAGAGAAATGCCTCTGGTGAGGAGAGGGACAAGGCACCCCCCAGGAGGTGTGTCCCTCCAGCCCAGGCTGCTGTGGGGTACCCAGGACGATGGACCCGCCATCCGCAGCAAAGAAGACCCCGCTCTCCAGTGCGCCCTCGTAGCACGGTGTCACCCCGAAGGTGTGTGAGGGGCGCCCCAGGGGCCTCCCGTCCAGCTGGGGGTTCCTCAGGCAGCCGTCGAAGCTGGAGGCCGAGGCAGCCTGCAGAGAGAGGCCACAGGAGTGAGCGCAGAGGGGACACAAACCGGCAGGCACAGGGCGATGCCTCGGTACTGGGAGCAGAGATGGAGCGATGCCACGGGACCACCAAGCCCTTACCGGTACGTGAGCCTTGGCTTTTCCAGCTGGGACCCCCCCTACATACAAGGGGGTCTGGGCCACGAAGAGCCCTGCGGTGGCCACTGCAGCACCCTGAGCTCGCAGCCCGTCGATGACCAGCTGGGCTCGGCTCTGGTCTCTGCTGAAGAAGACCTGCAAGGAGCAAAGGTCAGTGCCAAGGCTGGGGGCTTCCTGGGTTGGGAGGAGCCCCAGGGCTGTGCCCAGGGAAGGGAAACCTCAGCTCGGAGGTTCCGCCAGCCCTGGCTGTGGTTTTGGTGTCCCCTTTGCTCCCACAGGACTGTGGGTGTCCCGTGTGCAATTAGAGCAGGGCTGCACTGAGCTAATCCCTGCAGGGGCACCGGCGCAGGGGGGAGTGGTGTGGCCTGGGGGGTCCCACAGAGCCCCGACCTCCCGCTCACCGTGTGCCACTGCCGGTCGCGGTACTTGTCTTTGCTGCGGATGCGCAGCTGGCGCCCGCCGACGTCCAGCAGGAAGACAAAGCGCCCGTTGGAGACAAAGAGAGCCAGGAAGGTGCCCCGCTCACCCCCCACGTAGAAAAGCAGCCCGCTGGAGGAGTTCAGCTTCACCTCCAGGGAGAAATAGGACCTGCAGGGACACGGGGGGGTGAGGGGAGCACCCTGCTCTCCAAGCGATGGTCCCCAGGGCCAAGCTTGGGTGGGGTGGGCACAGGGTGAGGCTCACCTCTGCCCGAAGGAGACTGGGATCTCCTCGAACTCCAAGCGGCTGCTCGGGGCACCTCCGAAGCGGAAGGTGCCCACGGCTGCGCGGGGCTGTGGGTGCAGCCGGCAGAGCCCATCCTGATCGTGGCGGCGGTCCTTCCAGGCGGGCTTGCCCGGCACCTACACGAGATGCACCAAGGCATGGAATGAGGGGAGCGGGTGCCATGGGGCAGAGGTGCTCAGCGAGGGGGCAACGGTGGCATCTGAAGAGGACAAGGAGGGGGATGTGGGGAGTTCTGGCAGCAGCTGGTACCTTGGGTTTCCGCCTGTCCTTCTTTGGAGTGATTCTGAGCTGCTGTGGTTGCTCGCCCCAGGGACAGCTCATGGTGACGTTGATGCTCTCCGCGTTCTGCTGCAGGTCCACCACCATCTGCGGCTCTGCCGTCCTACACGCAGGGAGAAGAGGTTCCTGTCACCGGGACAGCTGGGCGGTGTGAAGGGGCTGAGCCCTGCTCTCTGGAAGTGGCACGGAGATGCTCACCTCTTGACAAAGACATTCCCGATGCAGCCGGTGAGGTTGCTGAGGGCACCAGGCTCCGGCGAACCCCCGAGCTGGAAGAGCGGCCACCCATCCTGTCGCCGCTGCCGCCGGCCGGGCCTGGCACCCACCACCGTGTCCTGCAGCTCGTCGTCCACGTACAGCCGGACCCTGGGGGGGATGAGCAGCAGGGGCTGAGCAGGTCCCCACAGCTCTTGGTGCCCCACGCCCCGTGTGCCGCCAGGACACGTACCCACGGGCATCGCTGTAGAAGGCTGCGTAGTGGGTCCTGTCATCCGCGTAGGTATTTTCAGTGGTGATTTCAGTTTCCAGCAGGTTCAAGGCCAGCTGGCCCCTCTGGAGGGACACCCGGCACGTCCCCTCCTGCAAAAAGCATCACCCCATTGCTGCTCAGCAGCTGAACCCCAATGAAAGGCCCATTTCCCCACCACCCTCCAGGAGCTCAGGGTGCAGAGCTCACTGCAGATTCATCCTCTGGCCCCACCAAAATCCTCCCCCTTTCCCAACGGGGAGCAGCAGCACCCCCAGAGCAGGAGCAGAAGTTTCTGCCCTGCTGCTGGGGTACCCGGGGGGACTGCAGGGAGCCCACCTGGGTGGCGTGGTGGTACAGCAGCCCCTCACGCTGGCTCGTTCGGAAGCTGAAGCCGCTGTAGAAGTCCCTCAGCCCTGGCACATCCTTCAGGGCCAAGGTCAGGTAGCCGTGGCCGTGGATGCTGACTGAGCGAGCCACCTGCAAGGGACACCATGGATGCAAGGTGAGAGCCCAGCCCTGGTGTTACAGGGGTGCTGGGAGGGTGACGGAGGTTATCAGGTCCTCCCTGGGTCTGGTCAGTGCCAGTCATGTGGAGCACCTTGCACCCCCACCCCTGCACTGAGGACCTGGGGCTTTTGTGCCCATTTCTGTGTGAACGAGGAGAGATCCTGTGCTGGGAGTCCTGTGCTCCCAGCACACCAGCCAGGCTGCCAGGGCTCTGTGCTCACCAGGAGGTCCGAGGTGCACCCGTAGCTCACGCCGACAGTGCTCATGCGCTTCAGGTCGACGTATTTGCCAAGAGCCTTCAAGCCCTTCATGCAACCCCGGATGGGCCCACCCGTGGGGAAGAGTGCTTTCAAGCTGCAGGAGAAGCAAGCAGAGTTACAAGGACAGCCCCAGGCAGGATCTGGCCCCACAGTCCTTCGAATGGCACCTGGCAAGGACCCACAGTAGCCACGAGTATCTCCAGTGCCTCAGGCACAAGGCTGCACCCAGCAGCAAAGGAGGACTCAGTGGCACCCACCAGCACCTCATCCCTCACCAGAGATGGAAATGTCCCATCTTCAAAAGCTCATGGTGACAGGCAGGAAGAGAAAATCTCCCCCAGAGCTTCAGCTGATGTGGCTGAGAAAGGGCCAGGGCCACCACCAGGGCCACAGGAGGGGAAGATGTGGACTGTCCCACCCCACCACAAGCTGGACCCACCTGGGGGGCAGCACAGCTGGGGGCACACCACCCAGGTAGTAGGAGACAGCGTTCTCCAGGGAGTTCTCCTGCTCCACCATGAAGATGGTGAGGCGCTCCAGCCGCACCAGAATGCGTTTCTTGTTATTCATTTTGAGGAGGAAAATCTGGATCTGCAGACAGAGGAGAAAAATGATCCACCAGCCTGGGGCCATTAGGTCCATCACAGAGAGCAGCATGAGGTGTCCGGTTCATGGCTCTAGTCAAAGAACTTGCAGTTCTCCCCAAAAAAACCCAAGGTCTGGGTGCCCCCTCCCCACCCCTGGATGTTTTGCTCTCCAAGCGAGCTGGGCGGGCGGCTCTTCCCCCTTACCGCTTTGTTTGTGGTGCTGCTGATGGTGAGGGAGGAGGAGTTGCTGCTGGGTTTTGCCATCTCCAAGCCCGTGCTGAAGTCGTAGTAAAGCACCAGCTTCCCATCCCGGATGGCCAGACACAGGAACTGACCCTGGGGAAGGCAGGACGGACACTCAGCCCCACGTCCCTGTGCCCAGCACACAGTCCCAGCACTGAGCCCGACCTGCCCTTTAGCACTGGTGGGAGCAGGTCCCACTGCCCCAAAGTGTGGCTTCACAATGACTGGGGGTTTATCTGCACACAGCAGTGCTGCCTGCCCCGGTGAACCCCGGCCCAGCTCGAAGGGTCTGTGCACGGGTACTCTCCAAGTTCAGGGGAGTCCCTCCAGCACCAGACAAGTGATTGCTGTGAGATCTGGGTCCAGCCCTCTTGTGGTTTTTAACAATAATGCAGGAATACTCCTCAAAGCAGCCCTGCCACCTCCAAAGCCCTCTTCTCCCCGGTGTCCTGAACTGAGAATGCCTACAAGTGGGGCTGGGATTGTCCCAGTCCACCAGCTGAGGGGTGAAGGCTCCCCAGGGGAGCAAGCACCTGCCTGGTTCTCCAGGAAGAAGAGGATGCCGTTGTAGGAGACCACCCGGATCTCCTGCTCGAAGCGCTTGGTTGTGCCAAACTGGCTCTCAAACTTGATCTCTGCGTAACCGGTGCCATCAAAGTAGGAGCCATCAGTCAACCAGGGGTCTCCTGTGGACTTGGACCTGAGCCACACGAGAAGAGGCACGAGGCATCACTCCAAATCCCGTTGCCATGCTCTGGGGCAGCCGAGGGTGAGGGTAAGTGCCACGCACTGGAGCTGCCCCCGTCCTGGGTGCAGTGCCCTACCTTGCGCAGGGCTTCTCGGCGGTGGTATCCAGCTGGAAGGTGTGTTGGAAGTTGTACAGGCTCACCACCTCCTCGTTCAGCGTGTCCAGCTCCAGGCACCCGCGGTAGTTGGGATAGCGCAAAGTGGGAGGAGGCTGGGAATGAAACCAGACAGTTAGGGCAAGTTTGATTCTGGTTTCCCCATGAAAGCAAGGGCTCTCCCCGCAAGAATCTCCACAGGTATTGCTAAATACCTCCTAAAACCCGAGCCTCCCTCCCTGCTGCCTGTCTCACCGTGAAGCTGGAGGGGTAGCCACCCACGTAGAAGACCACGTTGTGGGGGTCGAGGTTGAGCAGCCCTTGCTCCCCCTTGGCCACGCTGTCTCCCTTGGTCTCGTGCACCGTCTGCCTCTCCACAATCACTGACATGTGCCCATACTGCAGGATCCTGCAGCCAGGAGGGATGGTCAAGACAAGTAGAGACATCCAAAGAGGAGCAAACCTCATCCTCTCTGAGCAAAGGGCCTCCCCACACAGCTCTACCAAAAAGGGGTGCTTCTCCCACTGGGGCACCCCACAGCAGCAGTGCACTGAAAGGAGTCAGCACTCATGTTCTCAGCACTGTCACAAGGCTGAACGGACACTCTGTGATGAGCTCCATCTTTCCTCTCCTGCAGACGCCCCCAGACCCTCCATGACCTGGTAAGACTCCAGCTCCTTGCTAGTTCTTCTATCTCAGTGTTGGTCATTTAGAGCTGACTGGACACTGGAGTGGGCAGCACCTTTCTGCAAGCTCACGGCCTGTCTGGGCTTGGGCACAGCACTACCTGCATCTGCTGCAGAGACAGCCTCCCACTGAACTTCCTCGGGGTGCATCTCAGCAGTCTCCTACCTGTTGATGCTGATGGTGGCAAACTGCTCTCCAATATCCTCGTCAACAGTTAGGGAGGCTGGCTCCTCATCACCCAGTTTGTAGACCCACTGCACTTTGTGGTCCTTGAGCACGATGCCCAGGTAGTCTCCAACAGCCTGAATGAAGGGAGAGCCAGGGCCACGCGTTGGCATTGGGACAGGCAGGAGCACCAAGTGATGCTCAATCTGATGCTCCGGGGCTGCACTGGCCAAGCACCCCGATTTGCACTGCTCTCCCCATCCACCTCCAGCCAGGCTGACGACTGCACCCAGGGCTTGTCTGTGTTCCCCACAAAGACACTCAGGGAGCTGGTGAAGGGAGAAGGGCTGATGTCCAGCTGTGATCCCCACTGATGCTAAAACACGGGCTCCCACTGCCCTCCTCCTGCCCACACGGCCCCGTCTCACCTCCCGGCTGCCCAGGTACAACACGAACCGCCCCTCCTCTGTCCCATCCTGCCGTCGCTGCCGGCTCCTGGGCTCGGGGTTTTGGATGTAGAATTTGAGGGACGTGTAGGCTGCCAAATCCTGCAGGTTGCTGGGCATCCGGACCTGCACGCCCGAGCTGCCATTGAACTTCATGGGGACTTTCACCTGGGGAGGGAGAGAAATCCATGCCCGCGGCACTGAAACCACTGCTGCTGCCTCCCTCGTCACTGTCAGCTCTACAAATCAAAGCATTTTCTGAAGTCTTCCCATCAGAAAGACCCTGCCTGGTGGCACCAGAACTATTCTAAATACCCCTCCCCTTTGCATGCTGCCCTCAGGTAAGCGTTCGTTCACCTCGTGCCCCTGGCGCCCCGTGCCCAGGCCTCACCCCACCATGAGCCTACCTTGCTGGCAGCGTTCCTCGCCTGCGTGATGAGCTGACGGATCCGCACAATGTTCTCCGACACGGTGGCGTTCTTGTTCCTCCTGTTCTCCAGGCTGCTCAGCTTCCCCAGCAGCAGCGGGATGGTGCTTTCCAGGCTGGACACTGGGGTTGGAGAGGAGCCAGGGGTTTTGAAGGTTAGTGAGGAAGGGAGATGTGAAGCTCAGGCAGTTTTTGAGACATGCAAGTCAAAGCAGCAGCAGCTGGGAGCGGAGTCACAGAATGATCCCCTAAATCCAGCAGCCTTGATGGGGGGGTTGTGAAAATGCTCTAGTGCATGCAATCTCCTGCAGTAAAGGTACAGGTGATATAGACACTGCAGGGAGAAAAAAAAAAAAAAGGACAGGACTTAAAGCACCTGGCATTGGCTGCTACCTCCCTCTACTCTTGACCTGGAGCTGCAAAGCATAGCTTCCAAAAGCTCGGAGCTCTCTGGGGACATCTGTTCATGCGCTAGTTCATGCCAGACTCAGCCCTGGCAGCCCAGCAGGTTCAGCACTCACCAGATTTCCTGGCATCCTGGACCGCCTGGTTCAGGTCTTCATTTCGAAGGCCTCCGTACTGGTCTTTCCACTCATCCAGCTGCTTCTTCATGGTGCTCAGGGTATCTTCCACTCTCGCAGCTGTTTCGTTGGCCTCAGCAGCTGCTGCTTTGGCATTCTGGATCATCTCTTTTGTGTCCTCTGGAAAGAAAGGAGAAAAATCTTTGGGATGGCCAGAAGCAGGGATGAAACACCCTTGGGTCACAGCCTGGGTGCAAGGAGGGAGCAAAGAGACAAGTCAAGCTACCACAGGACAAACCTTGGTCCCTGCCCAGCATGTCCTGCACAGACTGGAGCTGGCTCAGGAGCTGATCCTTCTTCACACGGAGGTCAGCCAGCTTGTCCTTTGCTGTCTGCAGAGTGCCTTTAATGGCTGCAATTAAAGAAATGCATACGTTGTGTGTTGGATCTCGGTTCAGCCCAAAGGACACCACACCCTGTAAGGAGTCTCTCTCACCCCCGTTAAGTTTTCTTTGCTCTCTCCTCACAGACTCCTCCAGGTTGCTGCTGTTCCTCTTCAGCTCTTTAGAGATAGCCCCGAGATTTTCTGATATGACATTCTGCAAAACAAACACACGCTGTCTGGGAGTCTGAAGAGGAATTCCAGCCCCAACTGGAAATCGGTCAGAAAAATGCTCATTCAGACAACTGCAGTGGGGTGTGCTGCTGGGTGTGCTGGAGACACCCAAACCCCCAGAGTCTGGCCCCAGCCATGGCAGAGACTCTGCTTGCTGGCACAGAACAAAGTGCTCAAGTCTCAGAGGGAAGGGGCAGCAGAGCCCTACATGCGGGTGTGAAAAGCCAGAGGACTTTCAACGGAGTTTGGCTTCTGCTCATCTTCACAGGGCTCCCCACAGCACGTACCATCAAAGCCTCGCCGGCCGCCTCATCAGCATCGTGGGCTGCTCGCTCTGCTTTTTTCACAGCTTCGATGATGCTGGCGTAGGCATTCGAGGCATCGATTGCCCTCTGGATAAAGCCATCCTGGTTTGTGCCCTGGATAATGCTGTGTTGGAACATGAAGCCATCAAGTCCACGAAGAACGCTCTAGCTGGGCTCTTTCCCATGTACCCCCAGACAAACCCCTTTGGGTTCCTCATCACAACACGTTCTCCAGGATAAAGCTTTGGAGATGGCACCTCGCTGCTCCCCTGCCATGGCGTGGGGCTGCAGTTTCCCATCCCCATCTCTGGTCAGAAATGCCCCAACTACTGCGGGTCGTGGCTGGTGCCTCACCTGGACAGATTCCTCGCAAGCTCGTCCAGGAGCCGGGCGTGCTCCTCTGCCTGCTCCACGATGGGGATCTTGCTGCTGGCCGGGGAGAACTTCTTGACCCGCTCAGTCAGGGGCAGCTTCGCCCCATCCAGCAGAGCTGCCAGTTTCTCGTACGCCTGCAAGAACACACAGCACTCCCGAGGGCTGCCACCCCCTCGCGCCCTGCCCATGTCGAAATACCTCCATCACTCACCTCCTTCGCCCTCTCCATCTTCTGTAAGAAGTCAGAGACCTGGGCCAGAGAGTCCTTGGCCATCCTGAGGGTCTCCTGCACCAGCATGTGCTGCTTTTGGAGTTCACGGCTCTTTTGCTAGACACACAGAGGCAGGGTAAGGCACTGGCAGGGCCGGGGTAGGCCCCCCCCGCTGCACGGCAGTATGGGACCACCCGCTGAAGGTCTACCTGACTCTCCTCCAGGTTGTTGCGGTTCAGGCTGTTCAAGTCCTCTGTCTGCCTGGTTTTGTTCACAGCCTCGTTGAGGGCGTCGCGGAGATCCATCAGCTGGGCGCTGTGCTGCGCCAGCCGCTCCCGGATGCTGCTCACCAGGTCCTGGTTGGATTCCCAGCGGGCATGCAGCTCACTCCTCACCCGGTGCAGCACTGAGGATGGAGGAGACGAGAGCTGTTGCTCATTCATCCTCCTGCGTTAAAGGGCTCTTTCTTTTGGCTGTGGAAAAGCCTGGCTTTGGTCTCGCTTGGCAGGTATCAAGGCAAAAGTGACCATCTTCCCTCCCTCCCTCTTTCAGCCTGGATAGCACAGAATATCGTGCAAAAGTGCCTTCCAAACACCCTGTGCTGGTAGAAGGGATGGAATCTCTTTCAGAAAGACACCCAGCCACGCCCGAAAGGCTCCAGATAAAGGAGAAACCCCACCTGAGGCCTGTTTCAGTGCTTGATTATTCCCACTGTGAAAAATTACTTATTTTTCGCAAGGGCCAGTTTATAATTCCAGCTCTCAGCTGCTGAACTGTGCTTTGTCACTGCCTGTTAATCAGAAGCACTTGCTCCCTGCAGTGCCAGCATGCCTGGTTATGCAGTGTGGCCTTGTGTGGGAGCACAATCCAATCCATAGCTCCTGCAAGGGATGCCCTCAGGATGGCAGAGGTGCTGAGGGTGATGGGCTGCTGGTTCTTACCCTGGACCCATTTCCTGTGGCAGCAAATACCAAGAAACATGGGGTGAATTATTCACATCCACATGTGATGGTAACTCCTGGTTCTAAGGGCTGTCATTTTATCAACAAAACTACCCAGCTAGGACAATCTGCTCTACAGTTCACCTTAAGGGAAAAGGAACCACAAATGGAGTGTCACAGGGGACCCTAGAACTACTCTAAAACTCACTGGGGGTGCCTGTTTTACTAAACCACTCTCCAAACATGACCATGATGTGTAGCATTCACATGGGCTGCAGGCCAGGCTTTGAGGAACGGCTAGACCCAGCAGGTCTAGTCCTGTCCCATGCCACTGAGCCAGACTCACGCTTCTGAGCCTCCTCGTGCTCGCGCCTTGCCAGCTCCTCCTGGCTGCCCAGACTCCGCTCCTTCATCTCCCTCAGCATTCTTTCCACCTCGGCCATCTTCTGCCGAAACTCCTCGGTGGAGGTGGTGCTGGCGTTTGCTGCCCCAAACCTGACCATCTGCCGCACCAAGTCTGCAGAGAAATCCAGATCTCCTGTTAGTGCTGAACGAGCCAGGTCCTTCATAACCCCCCAGACCCTTCCTCTCTTACATCACCCTCAACACACCGCAGCCAGCTTTTATGCAGTACTCGGGCACCCGAGTTGCTTGAGGTCACTCAGAGGTATTGTCCCACGTTTCTGTCTCCTTGGCTGTTACATCAACACTTGCTACATTTCAAGCATCTTTTTGCAGCTTTATTTCCTCTCCCAGATTCAGTCACTCCCCAATTTGCTAATCTCTCCTGAAACAGCAGTGCAGATTGCCCTGGTTTCAGGCATTTTAATAACATCTGTACAAGTTTAATGTGCATTTTTCCAAAGACTGTGTTTAGCCAAACAGCTGGGACTCACAATAACCTGGTCTACTTGAACAGCCAGAATTCTGCAGGGATCTCCATTTCATTTTTATTTCCCCTTGTTTTCTCCACAGCCCTTTCCAAGTGACGCAGCATTCGGTGATGTTTGACAGCAAGAGCGTGGCTTTCCCAGCTGGAAAACCCCACTAAGCAGAGACCCTTCTTTACCTGCAATGCCCTTCTGAATGCTTTGGATATTTAGCAGGAGCTGCTCCCCCCTCTGGTAAGTCTCTTTCGTGTGCTGCTCAATCCGGTTTGCTTCTCTGTGAGTCATTGTCATCTACAACAAACAACACTGGTTTAGCTCAAGTATGAGATTATGTTTTATGTGATCTGTCAGCAAGAAAGATGTTCCCAAAGGCATATAAGGTTTGGGAATGTGCAGGTTTTGAGGTCCTTGAACCGTGTCTCCTCCAACAGCCCGCCCTGTGCTGTGCCCCTACAATGCATTTAGTGATGGTCTTACTTAACACCTTCAGAGAAGCACATGCAATAAATGCAGCTCCCATGCAACAGGCTCTGGATCCTGAAACAATCCTAAAACCACAGACGACAGTACTGTTCTGTGCTCTTAAGCCCTAGAGCCTGGAGCCAGGCCCACCTGGGTCCTGACCAGGACACAAGAAGAGATGGAGGGCTGCAGTCTGGCTGTTCAGAGATGTGTGGAGTTGTACGTATACCCAGAGGCAGTTTGTCCATGTGGCTGCCTGGGGACATACACCATCAGATAAACACTTTTTCCTCTCCCTCAGATTAGGAGCAGGCAGTTTATAAATCAAATCAAACCTTGCTCAGTTTATAAGTTCTCTGAAGACACAACTGGTGCTTTTTAGACTGTATATAGGTTGCATCTTGCAAAAGGTGCTGCTGTACTGAGGCCTCCAAGGACTATGACAATAAAAGGGGTTGACTCATCTGCTGACAAAGCCTCCCTGTCACAGCACAGATACATCCAGGACAGACCTGGATGCTTATGTTCCTTCCTCATATGCTTCTTCTATAAATGACATTTTAATGAATTTATTTTTACTGGTTAAAATTGGAGCCGTCTCAAAACTAATAAATCAAGAATCAGTATCACAAGATGTTTAACAGCCCTCCAAGGGAGGAATGCAGGTAATGCAGCTTGAGCATCTAAGAGACCCTGACCTCCAAGCCTAGTGCTGGCTGGGCAGGAGATGCATCCTGCCTGAACTAGGCTCCTTGCAGCCTTCAAAGCCCTCATTTTAGGTAAATGGAGAGCTCATGTTCTAGCAATGAAAGGTGGAGAAATACACTACTTTGTGCTGCAGAGCGTTCAGGTCCTGTGTGAGGTCCACATTCTCATCCTCCAGCTCGTCAGCCCTTTGCCTGACCTTGCTCATGGCTCTCTGGTACTCACGCAGCTGGTTCTGGAAAAAAAAAAGAGCTGAAATCAGGCCAACAGGCCAGGAAACACGGGCAGAAAGCGATGTTACACCTTCCACATACAGCGACAGCTGCCATAGTGCCGTTGAGACCGTGGAGGCGAGCCCAGGCGATGGAGCTGGCGTTGAGGTTGACCAGCTGGTTGCGAATGGAGGGGAAGGACATCTCGATGCTCTGCAGATCCTCCAGCAGAAGCAGGACACAGCTGTCACACACTGCCAGGAGAATGGAGCAGTCAGCACAGGGCCCTTTCCTGGGGCTTCCCTCACCTCTTTCCCCAGAACCGCAGGATACAGACCTTCACACCTCACGCTGTCCGGGCCGTTTGCCACGGGGACCTCGTGCTCGTGCATGCAGACGTCGCACTGCTTCCCCGTCAGCCCGTTGGAGCAGGTGCACTCCCCGGTGCGCGGGTCGCAGGAGCCCCCTCTGCACTCGCACCCTGCCAGGTTTAATAACAAGGAAATGCCCGTGGCATCGTTTTGTGCTGTTACCACCCCAGAGAGAGGGGAGAGGGAGCGGTTTTATTCCAGCTGTGCAATCACATCTCTGCTTATCTACACGCCACTGCTGGGGGTTTCCCTGTGCCACCTAGCAACACCCACAGGACCTCAGATAGCGGTCGGTTGTTTTCCACCTTCAGTAATTCCACAAGCACACGTGCCACCGGTGCCTTCTCCCGCTCCTCCACACGCAGGACCCACCACCCGGGAAGCAGGACTCACTTGTGCAGCCGCTCTGGCTGAAGCCCCAGTAGCCCGGGGCACACTGCTGGCAGCGTGGGCCGCTGACGCCGGGCAGGCAGGTGCACTGGCCCGTCTGCACGTGGCAGCTGCTCCCCACAGCGCCGACATCGCAGTCACACCTCCGGCAGCCGGAGCATCCCTCGAAGCCATAGTATCCCTCCTAGGGAAAAACAGGACAGTGGGTGACCCGTTCAGCAACAGGGCATGGGTGCCTCCCTCCTGGGGCAGGCTGAGGCAACGTGGGACCCCAGCCTTGCTTTCTAGGAACGTTTTACAGAATCACAGAATCATCAAGGTTGGAGAAGCCCTTGAAGCTCCTCCAGCCCCACCATGACCCTCACCCTGACCATTCCCAACTCCCCCAGATCCCTCAGCGCTGGCTCAGCCCGACTCTTCAACCCCTCCAGGGATCCCGGGGACTCCCCCCTGCCCTGGGCAGCCCATTCCAACGCCCAACAGCCCCTTCTGCACAGAAATCCTTCCTCAGAGCCAGCCTGACCCTGCCCTGGGCAGCTTGAGGCCATTCCCTCTTGTCCATCCCAGCACGCAGGCGGCCCTTACCTCGCAGTGGTCGCAGTGCTGGCCTGTCACTCCAGTCTTGCAGAAGCACTGGCCAGTGCGTGGATGGCATGAGTCAGTCCCGCAAGGCGAACAGTTGCATTCTGTCAGGAAAAAAATACCCCCAGTTATACACTGAAGAGCCTGCTCAGGCACTCACAAACCTTATTCTCAGTAGGGAATCCTATTTTCCCCTTATCTATCACAGTCAGAGCAAAGACAGAGCCTCTCTCTCCACTTGGATTTGTTCCTCCTGACAACTTCTTCCCATGACGCCTGCCCAGCGCAGACCCCCTTTTGTGAGCTGCAATTTGGCTGTTGCTCCTCGGAGGGAGATGAGCAGCGCTGGGAGTCGACTGGGCAAACCCACACGCCTGAAGGAGCACCAGTGCTGCTGCTGCGTTAGCTGCTCGGGGCAAGACTGTTCCAGCCTGCATGGGGCCTGGTGGCTCATATTTGTGGGTGGATTGGAGGTTATGGAGTTGTGATGCTGGAGGGCAGGTTTTTTTGAGTGGGTTTTTTTTTTTTTATTATTACCATCTTTAGAGGATGCCTGCAACATGTGCGACCAAGCACGTGACTCCCTGGGACAACGCACAGCCTGGCTAAGGCACTAAACACACCCGCAGTCAGTTTGTCCATCTCTTGCCCCCACCAGCCACTCACGTGTGCAGTTTTTGGCTGCCACCGCGTCCCCGTAGTAGCCGGGGGCACAGAGCTCGCACCGCGTGCCGGCCGTGTGGTGCATGCACCCCGTGCAGGCGCCCGTCAGGGAGTCGCAGCTGCTGAAGAGCATGTTGGGATCCGTGTTCCCGCTGCAGTCGCAGGGCTGGCACGAGCTGCCGATCACCAAGGGATTGCCGTAGTATCCCGGGGCACACCTGGAGAAATATGGCAAGTGAAAACACAGTCAGGGCCACAGGGGGATTCCCACAGCTCATGCCTGCACCATGCTTGAGTTGTACCATTATAACAGTGCCAGCATCCAACACTTTGAAGTGCTGCAACCCTCAGGGATCTCAAAACATTTGGTGTTTTGCCTTACAATACTCCAGAAAGGTGCATTTATTACAGAGTGCAAGTCAAGGCAAAGCACAGCTAAGTAACACATCCACAGCAACACAGTAATTCAGCAGCGGAGACAGCAACAGGGCATTTGCATGCTGAAAAGTATTGAAAGAAATACTGCCGGGACAAATCACACTGGGGGGCAGAGCCAATTTGTCCCTCTGCAGTTTTACTAGGACAACTTTCTGTTCTGCCACAGCCGTGGCTGCATGGGACTAGTGTGTCTGAGGCCCCAGAAACACGGGTGCCATCGCCCTTACCGCTCACAGTTGGGTCCAGCGTAGCCGGGCTTGCAGAGGCACTGTGTGTTGGAGCCTTTGTGGACACAACCAATAGCAAAACTGAAACGATAAGGGGTAAACAGGGAG